CTTAGACGAAGATCGCGGTAGTGCTCGGCGCCAACCATCACACCTGCCTATACACCGCGCGGGGTGTATGTGTTGATGCCATTGAGGGGAGGGAGGTTTCATTTATTTCTTAATTTATTTGTAGCACTTCTTTGCATTTTGTAATTCAACACAATGTCGAAATCATCTCTCAACTCAAATGCCCCCGTTTTCGTGCCTGGTAAGCGCTCTTCTCCCCTCGACAGCAGCTGATCGCTGATGTTTATAATTTTTCTTCTTTTTATTGCACTTTATCTGCTTCTTCTCTTATGAAGTCGCAATATTAAACGGGTTTTTCGGTTTTCCATCGTCTCCAACTCTGCATTGAGGTGTCTGTACACCTCATCACCAATTCACCCGAGGCGATCGCGCAGTCGGCCTTTCCTTCGTTTTTCTTCTTTTGTTTTTCAGCTTTGCATTTATATTTCTCTGCATTTGCGTTCCTTCAGGGAAGCCATTTATATATGCCCCCCCCAACGCCGATGATCGCTCCACAGCCACCCCTCCTCCCGTCTCCACACCCTCCCCCGAGCCTCAGCAGCAGCAGCAGCAGCAGCAGCAGCAGCAGCAGCAGCAGCTAGAGGAATTATGCAAAGGCATGGAGGCAGCTTCAGTAGAGGAGAAGACATGGGAAGATGAAGGTGCAGCGCCTTAGAAGTCTTCGTCTCTCTTTGTTCATTCTTGAAGCTCTTACACCAATCCATATGCATCTTTTGCATTAAATCTTGTCTCTAATTCCTTTTTTATCTCAACTACTATTCATCTCTTCTTGCTTATCTTTTTTGCTTGTCTTTTTCTGTTGAGGTTGTGCATATAAAATCATTTCCTGTATGAGCGTTAGAGGAGTAGGGGGGAGTTATCCTTGTTTGTCTGCTTGCTGTCTTTATGCATGCACTGATATTCTTTTATAGACATGCGTAAGCATTTGTATGTATTAATAATTAATAGCATTTTAACGCGTTTCTCTGGTGCTGTTATATTTTCAGCAGAAGAGATAGTTGCAGGTGCAGCATCTGCTGCTTCTTCCGCCCCAGCAGCAGCAGCAGCAGTACCTGCAGCAGCAGCCCCATCATCATCATCATCATCAGCAGCAGCAGCAGCAGCAGCAGGAGCAGCAGTAGCAGGAGAAGAGATAGAGGAAGGCGCATGCATAGAGGGAGAAGATGCAGGTGCAGGTCTGGGGCTTGCAGCCGCGAAGACAGCTAAAGCAGACCCAGATCCTCGTCCTCATTTAAATATTGTTTTTATTGGCCATGTTGATGCGGGTAAAAGTACAACATGCGGAAATATATTATTTCTTACGGGAGGAGTTGACGCAAGAACTATTGAAAAGTATGAAAGAGAAGCAAAAGAAAAGAACAGAGACTCGTGGTTTCTTGCGTTTGTTATGGATACAAATGAAGAAGAAAGACAGAAGGTACTATATATAAATAATATAGCAGCAGCAGCAACAACAGTAACAGTAACAGCAGCAGCAGCAGCAGCAGCAGCAGCAGCAAGAAACAGAATGTACGCAGCAGTTTTCTTCGTTTATAAAGTAGAAATGTCTGCATGCATTGGGGGAGGCGAAGATGAAAAGAATATATAAAATAAATAAATATTTATTCTTGTATTAATTTGCATGCAAATGCAATGCGAGTTGATCTGTTGTTTATTTGTTTATTTAATATTTTGTTTATTTATTTTATTTATTTTGTTTTTTATTTATTTATTTGTTTGTTAGTTTGTTTTGTTGAGTGCTCTTTTATTTTTTTTTCAAGGTCATTTCTTTCTTTACTCCTTTATTCATATATTCGTTTATTCGTTTATTAATTTATTAATTTATTATTAATTATTTATATATTAATTGATTATTTATATTATTAATAGTTTAATTAACATTATTCTTCAGGGCAAGACAGTAGAAGTAGGAAGAGCATACTTCAGCACCCCTAATCGCCGATTCACGTTGTTAGATGCGCCGGGCCATAAGGCCTTCGTTCCTAATATGATTGAAGGTGCAGCTCAGGTATCCATCAATACTATTCTTCTATGCATGCATGCATGCATGCATGCATGCATATATACAGTGCATGCATACAGTGAATGCATACAGTGCATGCATGCATCATCCATGCATGCATATATACATATATATATATATATAGAGTGCATGCATGCATGTAGAGAGTGCATGTATCCATGCATGCATATGTAGAGTGCATGCATGCATATATAGAGTCCATGCATGCATGCATATATACAGTGCATGCATCCATGCATTCATAGAGTGCATGCATGCATTCATAGAGTGCATGCATTCATGCATATGTAGAGTGCATGCATGCATTCATAGAGTGTATTAATATGGAGTGTATTTGTGTATTAATAGAGTGTATGCATGCATTAATAGAGTGAATGCATGCATGCATGTAGAGAATGAATGCATGCATGCATGCATGCATGCAATAGTGTATGCACTCTACCTAAGAATGAATGTATGCATGCATGCATTGATGTATGCATGGATGCATGCATGCATTGATGTATGCATGTATGCATGCATGCATCAATGCATGCATGCAGTGTGTATGTTGTATACGCGTTGTAGAGTGTGTATGGGTATTGTTTGAACAGATAATAATTAAAGTATTTAATTATTTTGTTTTATTGTTTACAGGCTGATGTCGGTGTCTTGATTATTTCTGCACGCAAAGGCGAATTTGAGACGGGGTTTGAAAAGGGCGGCCAAACAAGAGAGCATACACTGCTAGCAAAGACATTAGGTAATGTTATTCTTATTCTTTTTATTATTTATTATTATTATTTATTATTATTTATTGTTGTTGTTGTTGTCTGCTTCTTCTTGCTGCTGTTATCTTTCAGAAGATATACACTGCTAGCCAAGACATTAGATATTACTCTTATCCTTATTCTTATTCTTATTCTTATCTTCTTCTTATCTTTTTTCTTATCTTCTTCGTCTTTTCTTGTTGTTGTCTTCAAGGGAGCATGCACTGCCTTAGATATGATAATGAGATATTAGATATTACTCTCTTATTCTTTTTATTATTCTTCTTGTTATCTTCTTGTTTTTCTTCTTGTCTTCGTTTTGTTGTCTTAAAGAGACGTTACACTGCTTATATATATATATATATATATATATATATATATATATAGAGAGAGAGAGAGAGA